TATGCAGTTAGCGCTCACTAAAGGGTAGTCGTGGCCGGCGCGGTGGCTCACGCCTGTAATCCCAACACTCTGGGGGCCAGGCAGGAGGATCGCTCGAGGTCAGGAATTCAAAACCAGCCTCAGCAAGAGCGAGACCCATCTCTACTATACATAAAAGAATATTGGACAACTAAAAATATATATACAAAGAAAATGAGCCGGCATGGTGGCGCATGCCTGTAGTCCCAGCTACCCGGGAGCGAGCAGGAGGATCGCTTGAGCCCAGGAGTGTGAGGTTGCTGTGAGCTAGGCTGAGCCACGCACTCTAGCCGGCCAACAGAGTGAGACTCTGTCCCAAATAAAAAAGGAAAAACATAAATGTTCTGATTCCACCTGGAGTCCAGAGAGGGGCGGTTGCGGGCTCACTCTCGCTCGGCGCCGTTGCTGAGTGTTCTCTGAGCAGCAGGGGCCGGCCCAGTGTCTGATGGGCCAGTTGGTGGACAGAGCTGTTGAAGAAACTGAAGCCGGCGTTTGTTAAGCGCCTCCTTCCCACCGGTGGGCACCACCAGGCCTCATGTGCAGTGTCACTTGTTCCTCACGTGAACCTGGGAGGCGATGACAGCCACCTTTCACGTGATGAGCAGGCCCTCGAAGAGCCCTGGCCGGACCACCGTGTGCTCGCCGCGTCCCATGGAGTGGACTTGACGAAAGTTCAAGCTCAAGGTCAGTCAGTCCCCAAACCCACCACCGTGTGAAGGGCTGAATCAGAACCCTTCAACACAGTCACGCGAAAACAAAGCACAGGAAGCTTCCAGAATCCTTGGCGTGGCATGCGTCACACCTGAGGATCACATGCCCTCGTGATCGCTTTTGCCGTCTGCATCTCTAAGCATGTCATCGGAGTCCCCTTTTCCGTATGGGGTGGGTGCGGAATAATTCTATGTCTGGCAAGCTCCCAGATTGGCCGGCTGCGACTTCTCTCGGACAACTGGGAACAGCTTAATGGTCTGCGTCCCGTCCTCCCGCACCAGCCGCACTCCGTCGCTGAGAGACAATGGACAACATCCCGCCCACAACTGGGATGACTTAAAACGATGGACCCGGATGTCAGAAGGATGGTGGACTCCGGCCCTGGTCTCACCGGCGGTGGATTCTCTGAGGTTGTGCCGTGTAGACCCCCTGCCGGCCGTCAGCACCTTTGGGACGCTCAAGGGCAAAGCGTGTCCAGGCTGGGCGAGGTGGTACACCTGTAATCCTAGATCAGGGAGGCCTATGCGGGGAGGAATTGTAACGGTCAGGAGTTTGAGACAGCCTGAAGCAAGAGTCGCGACCCACCTCTCTTCTATGACAGAAAGAACATTAATTGGGCGGGCAACTCAACTATATATGGAAAAAATATAGCCGGCCATGGTGGGTGCATGCCTGTAGTACCCAAGCTATCGGCGCGGGCTTGAGGCAGTGAGGATCGCTTGAGCCGGAGTTTGCAGGTTGCGTGGCTAGGCTGGACGCCACGGCTTGCACTCTAAGCTGGCGGGCAACAACAGAGAGATCTGTCTCAAAAAAAAAGTGTCAAATGCCAGGTCTACGGACATGTACGTGGTGGGCTTTCAACGGTGGTTTCGGTAAATACGCGCGACTTTCATTGCCACGTCCTCCCGGCAGCACCGAGCCCAGCGGACCAGGCGCCAGCTGCCCGGGTCTCCCTCGCCCACCCCCCTCCGCAGCGCTGGCCTCCTCCGCTTTCCCTCTCAGCAGGACACACCTAGCCTCCGTCACCCCGCACTTGTCTTTTTATGTGGTACGTGGCCTATTCACCTGTGTGCTCCAGGCCGGACACGGTGGCTTCCGCCTGTCAGCCTAGCACTCTGGGAGGCCGAGGCCGGAGGATCGTTCGAGCTCAGGAGTTCGAGACCAGCCTGAGCAAGAGCGACACCCCGTCCCTACTAAAAAAAAAAAAAATAGAAACAAATTAATTGGCCAACTAAAAATATATAGAAAAAATTAGCGGGGCGTGGTGGCGCATGCCTGCTGTAGTCCCAGCCACTCGGGAGGCTGAGGCAGGAGGACTGCTTATGCATGTGACTCCCCACAGCGCAGATCTTTGACGCGCCGACCACCTAACATCTCGGACTCGCCTGGGGCATCACGTGAACCACGGCCGAGCTACTGAAAGGAATACACGGGGCAAAGACAGAGCTGGAGAAGGTTCCAGAATGGTGCCGAAGCCAGACGCCACGCTGCCTTACACCAGTGCTACAATGCCTGTTTAATTGAAACCTGGTAATAAAAGTTTAAATACATAAAATGTTTGTTTTTTTTATCAAAAGAACGTCTCCCGCTTGCCCGGCCCGATGCGCGAGGACTGGCAGGTGGGGACTGGCTGTCTGAGGCGCGGAGGAGCAATGGCAGGTGCAGCGCCGGCGGGTCCCTTCTTCCTCGGAAGATGCTCCATGGATGGACTTGGAGTCCCGGGCAGCGGGCGCCCCGCCCCACCGCGCCCCGCCCGGGCTCTCTCGGGGTCCGCGGCAGCCACGAGCCCCTCGGCCTCAGAAGACGAGGAAGAGCAGGGCCTCGTGCCTGGGCAGCACGATGTTCTCCACGGTGCGCTCCATGGCGCGCACCTGCTCCGGCGAGGCCGTCAGGAAGGCCAGGGGCCCGATGCGCTGCTCCACGCAGGAGTGGCACAGGTAGCCGCCCTTGTTCTCCTTCCTGTTGCTCTGCAGTGACAGGCGAGAGAGGCAGATAAGGGGGACAATCAGAGAACAGGATTTTAGCCGGGCGCCGTGGCTCACGCCTGTCACCCCCTAGCACTCTGGGAGGCCCAGGCGGGAGAGAATTGCTCAAGGCAGGAAGTTCAGACCATGTCTGAGCACGAGCAAGACCCCATCTCTACTAGAAAAAAATGAAGGAAATAGCTCTGACCAACTAGAAAAAAAAAATTATATAATTATACTAAATTAGCTGGGCATAGTGGCGCATGCCCTGTAGTCCCGCCCACCTTCGGAGGGCCTGAGAAGGAGGATTGCCCTGAGCGCGTCGAGGGAGTTTGAGCTTGCTGTGAGTGTTAGGCTGACAACCACGGGCAGCTCTATGCCCGGCAACAGAGTAAGACTCTGTCTCAAAAAAAAGGGAAAAATACCAAAAGAAACAGGAGATTCTCCACCAAAAAGGCACAGAACTGCTCGTATAACGCTTGCCCAGGGACAATCTAGGGAGAGGATTGCTGGGCATCTGATTTTCACGCATGTGCAAGCCCTCTGCGGTGACACTGTCCCGTCGCACTGTCTTTCTCCAGACGACTCCCACTCTAACCACATGCCCTCCGAGCACAAAACCACGACCTATGCGGTCGGGAGGGAGAACCAAGGACAACTGAACGGGGCCCTCCGGGGAAGCTCTGGTGTGCGGCCTCGACCGTCTCCGGACCGCGGGCTCCAGCACGTCCAGGCAACGTCACCCGTCCCGCCCCGACCCTCGGGCCGACCTCGCCTCCTGCCCATGCCCGGCGTGGGCAAAGCCCCTGATCTTCCCCCCACCCACAGCCGCTTGCGAGCAGCGAGATGCCAAGGAAAGCCGCCCCCGCCCACGTACGTAAGTGATGGGAGGCTTCTTCATGGTGAGCACGGTGTCCACGGGGATGGCGTTGTTGCACTGCCCCACGCAGCAGCGCACCACTCCCGTCTTCAGCACGTTGCTCGTCAGCTCGGCTTGCAGGAAGTACTCCTGAGGAGGGCAGAGCCAGGCAGAGAGTGACGGCGGTCTCTCTGCTACACCCCGCTCGCAAACCCCCACAGCTGAGGGGCCGTGCGCACAAAGCGCTAATTTAGACGCCTCCTGAGTCCCAGAAACACACCGGCTGCCCCGTCCTCCCTTACTTTCTCTAACTTTTCCCTGCCTGCAAAGCTACGGCTGTTCCAACTGGCTTCTTGATAAAATTCATAAAAAAAAAAAGATTTGCGGTGGCTCACGCCTATAACCCTAGCACTCTGGGAGGCCGAGGTGGGCGGATCGCTCGAGGGCAAGAGTTCGAAACCAGCCAGAGCAAGAGTGAGACCCGTCTCTACTATAAATAGAAAGAAATTCATTGGCCAACTAATAAATAGGAAAAAATTAGCTGGGCGGGCATGGTGGCACATGCCTGTAGTCCCAGGTGCTCGGGAGGCTGAGGCAGGAAGATCACTTAAGCCCAGGAGATGGAGGTTGCTGTGAGCTAGGCTGACGCCATGGCACTTACTCTAGCCTGGGCAACAGAGTGAGACTCTGTCTCATAAAAAAGAGAAAGATTTAATGGGCAAACATGTAAAGCTACTGCGTACAGTGATATCTCAGGCCTATGTCTGGGTTTTACCTTATGCTAACCCATCCCCAACTGAATCATTAGAGATCATGTGCAACGTGTTCACTTTTTGACTCAGGCAAGCTGACACGGAGGACCTTAAAACAGCTTGCCCAAATCAAGCCACTCGCACGTGTCGGCCTCCCTATGCTGCCGGCCGCACGGGTGCAAAATACCCCAGCTGAGCCTCAGGGCCTGTATCCAGGAGACGCAGACAGCACGGGGCCCGGCGACGGAGACACACCACAGCACATGCCAGGTGCTCACGCCGGGCGCAGAGCGAGTGCCCAGGTGAGACATTAGTGGCCAGAGACCACAGGACAGGGGCTGTCGGCTTCACCACCACCCTGAGGACTCCGGCTCGTGCTGGGACTCCCGCACGGCCCTGTCGTGTGCTGCCCGGAAACTATGATGTCATGTTTTCTGGATCAGGCCTGGCTGCTGATCTAACTTTCCCACAATCTTCACACAGACAAAGAATACGAAGAAAATCCAGATGGGTTTGCTGATGTTGCAGAAAGGAAGAAAATATACCAGTTGCTAACCTAGCATTTCAATTCTTTCTTTTTTTTGAGACAGAGTCTCGCTTTGTTGCCCAGGCTAGAGTGAGTGCCGTGGTGTCAGTCTAGCTCACAGCAACCTCAAACTCCTGGGCTCGAGTGATCCTTCTGCCTCAGCCTCCCGGGTAGCTGGGACTACAGGCATGCGCCACCATGCCCGGCTAATTTTTATATATATATATATCAGTTGGCCAATTAATTTCTTTCTATTTATAGTAGAGACGGGGTCTCGCTCTTGCTCAGGCTGGTTTTGAACTCCTGACCTTGAGCAATCCACCCGCCTCGGCCTCCCAAGAGCTAGGATTACAGGCGTGAGCCACAGCGCCCGGCCGCATTTCTTTCTATTTTTATAGTAGAGACAGGGTCTTGCTCTTGCTCTGGCTGGTTTCGAACTCCTGACCTCGAGCAATCCTCCCACCTCGGCCTCCCAGAGAGCTAGGATTACAGGCGTGAGCCACCGCGCCCGGCCCAATGACACCTTTTTAAATCAGCCACCAGTGGTGGAGGGAGAGAACAGTCTAAAGGTGACAAGGAGCAAACGAGACTTTCTCATCACCAGGTTCTGACTTTAAAAACATGAATAGGTGTCACAGGTTCAAAACAGACAATGAAATCCAAAAGAAGCACCACGTTCTCTGTAGGGACTGCAGACAGACAAGACGTCTAACTGTGTATTAAGGAGGAATGGAGCCGTTTGGGAAATCTTAAATTCCATCCAGTACTCTATTAACAGTCACACTGGTGTTATTCTGAATGCTACCGTGAAACACATAGAATAGTGTGAGTAATTAACACATACCATTAGGAACCAAGGTTTCAGCGTAAGAGGAAAAAGATTCAAGTGTTAAAGATGCAGCAGAAGCCTCTTAATGTGGGATCTGAAAGGGACTGTGGATCTACGGCGTACGAGTCCCCCGGGAGAGCGCTAGGGGCTCTGAAGTGGGGACACAGGGCAGCTTCGGGAAACCGGGGGGCGGGATGAAGAGCACAGGTCCATAGCACCCCGTCTTCAGTACCCGTGGCTGGTGGTGCGCACCTGGCAGAACGACCTCGGGAGGGGAGAACGCGCCGCAAAGCCAGGCAGCGGTGGAGGCCGGCGGACCGCATCTCCCGATCTGGTGTACGCTGCTGCTGCATCGTAATCTTAAGCTGCTTTACGCTGTTTTACATATTTGTGTCATATTTAACAACAAAAAGTTTGAGTTAAAAATCAAAAGGGGAGCCCGGGCACAGGGCCTCACACCTGTCATCCCAGCACTCTGGGGAGGCTGAGTTGGGAGGATCACTCGAGGCCAGGCGTCAGAGACAAGCCTGAGCAAGAGCGAGACCCCAACTCTACAGAAAAAAAAAAAGAAAAGAAAGAAAAAATGAGCTGGTGTGAAGGTGCGCACCTGTAGTCCCGGCTACTTTGGACAATGAAACGGGAAGACGGCGCACGCCCAGGGGTTTGAGGCTGCCGTGAGCTAGGGTCACAAAGCGGCACCCCCGCCTGAGTGACAGGGCGAGACTCTTACCGCCCACACCCTGCTCAAAAAAAGTCTGTTCTGGTTTCCGACAGGGTTGAAAGACTACATGGTTTACACTCTAGCCGCGAAAGGCAAAGAATAGACAAAAGTGAGTTACGAGAGTGGGGAGAAGGTATTTTGGGGAGGAGTGCCGAGCGAGTGCTGACTAGCTCACTCTTCTGCCTCTCGGCCAGTGACAACGGCCAGGAGCCCGCACCCTTACTCTCCCCTGCCCTGGACGTGTGCGCCGGAGAGCCCGCTGGTGGCGGCTGCAGCAGCCACTGATTGCCAAAGGGACGAGGAGCAGTCCGGATGCAGAAGACATGCTCGCCGTTTTTTCCCCCTGAGAGTGCTGAGAGTCGATTGGGAAAGGAAGAAACTAAAGAAATGCATGAACACCGCTGATATTTTAAGCACAACTTTTTAGACTGAATTAGGAAAGAACTTGGAAGAGAACGTTTCCGTCGCCGCGGTGAGAAGACTTCCTGCACCGCCATCGGCCTCGGCACGCTCGAGAAGCGCTTCCCGCCTTCCAACCCGGGACCCTGGTCCCTGGCGCAGAGCAAACACAGCCCAGAGCGGCGCGTGCCGCCCGCCCATCCCTCTTACCCCGGCCAGGGTCAGGATGTTCTCCAGCGACTTGGTCATGATGAGACGCTTCTTGGCACGGGTGACTGCGACATACAGGAGATTCCATTCGTCCTCAGAAAACGACTCTGAAGAGAGTAAAGGGGGGAAAAAGTCAACTCAGAAGCAGCTTATGGCCGGGCGCGGTGGCTCACGCCTGTCATCCTAGCACTCTGGGAGGCCGAGGCGGGAGGATCGCTCAAGGTCAGGAGTTCCAAACCAGCCTGAGCAAGAGTGAGACCCTGTCTCTACTAAAAACAGAAAGAAATTAACTGGCCAACTAAAAACATATGTAGAAAAAATTAGCCACGCATGGTGGCACGTGCCTGTAGTCCCAGCTACTCGGGAGGCTGAGGCAGGAGGATCGCCTGAGCCCAGGAGTTTGAGGTTGCTGTGAGCTAGGCGGATACCACAGCATTCTAGCCTGGGCAACAGAGTGAGACTCTGTCTCAAAAAAATAACAATAAAAATAAAGTCCACACTCTTTCCACTTCCTTAGGCTGCCTCTCTGGACAGAGTCCAATCTAGAAACGCGAGACGCCATCCCAGGACACGCACTCGGGAGGCCTGCCCCACACCTGTCATCTCGGTCACAACACCCGCACGACAGCAGGAACGCAGAGAGCAGCTGGTCTGCGGACATGCTACCGGCCACCGGACCACACGCTCTGAACTACGTACATTACACCTCAGTAAAGCTGGGGCCAAAACAGACGACAAAAGTAATCCAGTATGTAAATGTGTAAACCAGCAAGAAAAAAATAAATAATAAAAAGAACACCTTCTCCCCTTCAATAAAAAGCAGTGAGTATCTCCCGAGGGCCCCTCCCGCCCCCGCCCCCACTAGGGTTCATGCTCAGCCCCGCGCCTGCCACCTCCCGAGCGCGCCCGCCAGAGACAAACCGCGCTCCGAGTCTGTATTTCCAGCACCCCGGTGTCTGCCATGCCCCAGATTTTGAATTCACAGTTAACAGCTTTTGTTTGTTTGTTTGTTTGTTTGTAGGGACATTTCAAACGGTTTTATTCTGAGATTTAAAACCAGAACAAAGTCGCCGATGCTTAGAGTTTCACAATCAGCCTTGAGCATAAACTTATTAAAAAGCAGACAAGACGATAAGGACTGTTTACTATTTTGCCTTTTATGATTCCCTGATCTCTTTAATAAAAAGAAGGGAAATTGGCCGGGCACGGTGGCTCACGCCTGTAATCCTAGCACTCTGGGAGGCCGAGGTGGGAGGATTGCTCGAGGTCAGGAGTTGGAAACCAGCCTGACCAAGAGCGAGACCCTGTCTCTACTATAAAGAGAAAGAAATTAATTGGCCAACTAATATATATAGAAAAAATAAAAATTAGCCGGGCATGGTGGCGCATGCCTCTAGTCCCAGCTACTCGGGAGGGTGAGGCAGGAGGATCGCTTGAGCCCAGAAGTTTGAGGTTGCTGTGAGCTAGGCTGATGCCACAGCACTCACTCTAGCCCGGGCAACAAAGCAAGACTTTGTCTCAAAAAAAAAAAAAAAAAAAGGGAAACTGATTAAAGAAAAACACAGCCCAGTAAGCAGGTAACGGCACATGTTGAAGCTCTCACGAGGCCGGGCGCCCAGCGTAGATGGCGGAAACCCAGAGCAGCGGTGCGGATGCAGGCTGACCACTCGCCACGAACACGGCAGGCAGCCAGCCCAGGAGAAGTTTGCTTTTCCTAAAACCCGCAGATGTAGGAATCAAAAGTTTAAGACAGGCGTCCTCAAACTGCGGCCCTCGGGCCACATGCGGGTGTTTCTTCCCGTTTGTTTTTTCACTTCAAAGTAAGATGCGTGCAGGAATTTGTGTGCATAGGAATTTGTTCATAGGGTTTTTTTTAAACTACAGTCCGGCCCTGCAACAGTATGCGGGACAGTGAACTGGCCCCCTGTTTAAAAAGTCTGAGGATCCCTGGTTTAAGGCCACAAAGTGGTTTTGTTTTTCTTTTTTCTAGAAGGACCCTACCACCAGGAGGCCACGCCACCCAGCAAAAATCCAGGCAGTCAAAGGGAGGCACCCGCGCCAACGATCCCCTGCTGAGATGAGAGCGTCCGGGGGACGGGGCTGCTTACCGACGCGGAAGTGGGGGAGCTGGGGCAGGTTATGCCTGGCACAAGGCACTTTCACAAAATCGTCCAAAACATGCACAGTGTCGAACTCCAAGCCTTTGGCTTTGTGCACGGTGCCCAGAATGTACTCTAGAACAAACACACGGCGTATGGTTACACGGGGGCTTTGCAGGGAAAGGAACAAAAGAATAAAAAAAAAGCTTTGTGTCCTACTTGACCCTTAAAACTCTAAGTTTTCTTGCTACCGTGTTTCCTCGAACATAAGACAGGGTCTTATATTTATTTTTCCTCAAGAAGACACCCTAGGGCTTATTTACAGGGGATGTGCTATTTTTTTTAAGTACGGTACAACCATCTACATTTACTCAAATATAGTGAAGTCGTCTTCTTCTGGAATATCATCATCATTCTCCAAACCCCGAATCCCATCCTGAATTCCTTGCGACTCTATTTCCTTTAGAACCACTGGCCCCAATCTCTCATGTGGAGCAACAGAGCTCTCACGGGGCAGAGGAGAAGGGCTGCTCGTGTTCTTTCCCGCTCCGAGACGACATGCATGGGTTGTGCAGACGCGCTGCGCAGCCGCGCCCATCGCTAAGGCTTATTTTTGGGGTGGGGCTTCTATTGCACACATGCTTAGAAATCCTGCTTAGAAATCTTGCTAGGGCTTATTTTATAGGGAGGTCTTCTTTTTGGGGAAACACGGTAAGTATAGTTTTGTGGGAAAAGGAGGACAGAGGAAACTATGCTCGGAAGAAAAAGGAAAGGCAGGGAAAGTAGAAAATGAGTTGCAGGAGTCAGTACCTCTCAGAATCACGTTCCAGAGGCCAAAGGGACTTTACACACATCCTGTAATTCACACGTACAGGGACAGGGGCCCAGAAGAGGGCCGTGTGCCTAGCCCAGAGCCACCCGTGGCAGAGTTGGGGCTAGAGAATCTCCTCCTACGTACGGGCTTGGAGGTAAAACGGAGCCAAGGGCCCTGGAGTAAGAACGAGAACTCTGCTCCCCTTTCTCTTAATCGATGAAGCCATCCCTGCTCACGGGTAATTCACGCAGGTAAGAAACATCAGACCACCTGCGAGGCCTCCTCTTGGTGGGAAAGGTTAAAGGCCGCCCGCTCCCCTCACCTGCGAAGTCCAGGTCTTCGATGTGGCATTTCTCTATCCTCTCCACCAGCTCTGGGATCCTGATGTTGTACTTCTCCACCACTGCGATCTTGGCCTCCAGCTCCTTGTCCTCGGCGGCAGTCACGTACCTCTTGAAGCCGCTGAAGCCTTCTTTGTGCACCCATCTTCTGATGAATTTGTCTTTGATGACCAGGTTTCCTGAGGAGGGAGAAGACACCGCAGGTTGACCCGACGCGGGCGACACGCGCAGAGTCGCTGTCACGGAAGGGGCAACGTATGAGGCAGCCAGGCGAGAGGGGCGGGAGACAGCCTGGGGGACTGGCGTGAGAAGGAAACTGAGGCTCCTGAGGGAGGGATGGGGCACCTGTTAGTACCCCTGAAGACGGGAGGCCTCAGGCACCCCACTCTTCGTGGGAAAGGGCGCCGCCTGCTACCCCTTCTCCCCGGAAGGAAGAGTGAGAACCCCGACTCGGAGCCGCCCTCCCCTCTCCCGCCCCAGCACCTGCTGCGTCCCGAGGCCAGGCCAGGCGGGGACTCACGTTTCTTCCGCTCTTCCTCGGGCTGAAGGAGGATCCAGATATCGATGATTCTGTCCAATCCGAATGATCTAATCCCCTGGAAAAGATTTTCGCTTTTTTGTTATTTTTTTGTTTTGTGTTTGTTGTTTTAACAAAACAAAGTATGCCAAATGTAGGGACGGGATTTTGGAATGAGATAGATGGTTTCCTGGAAGCGAATCCGAAACTGCACCCGAAGCATCCACTAGAGCATCCCTCTCGCCCGATTACTCTGTTTTGACAGGTCCGCTCCCTCGGGAGAGAAACGGTTGTGAGTTCTGGTTGTGAATTATAATGGATACTGTCATATTTCCTTTTCTTTTTTTTGATTAAAATATTTTTTCAAGATAGTCTTGCTGTGTCACCCTAGCTAGAGTTCAGTGTCATCATAGCTCACACAGCAACCTTAAATTCCTAGGCTCAAATAATCCTCCTGCCTCAGCCTCCCGAGTAGCTTGGACTACAGGCATGCGCCACCACGCCTGGCTAATTTTTCTGTTTTTAAGTAGAGACATCGTCTCGCTCTTGCTCAGGCTGGTCTCAAACTCCTGACCTCAAGTGATCCTCCCGCCTCGGCCTCCCAGAGTGCTGGGATTACAGGCGTGAGCCACCGTGCCCAATCTCGGTCTCTGTTTTATGTCAGTTTTACCTGTCCTTCCTCAAGGAACGGCAGCCCTTGTCACGTGTCTCCTGAGCCGGGCCTGGTGCTCAGCAGGTGCTTCCTGGTCACATAGTAGGCCCTCGGAAATATTTTCCCATAAATTAATATCTTTTGGTTGTATAACTTTTAGAGTTTAAAATGCCGTCAAGGTACCCTCTAATCCTCCTAGCTCCCCGTTAGAAAGGCAAAGGAGAACATTCCCTTTGTCTTAGAGGTGGAAAGAATGAGACACACAGAAGTTGTGACTTGCCTCAGGCCACACGAAGCTAGTGACAGAGCCAGACCTAGACCCCAGCTCTTAACTCCACATGTGGGCAGCCCAGCTGCTCTTAAACTAACGGACAACGCACAACCAGAAAAGCTTCAGGTAGCTGGCAGCATCATTTGCAACATTAAGGTGAGAAGGACGTTCATTTTTTAAAGTGTGGAGGAAAAGGGCCTCGGTCCTCATTGGGTCTGCTTCCAAGAAGGTTCCACTAGCAGAAAAGAGCAGCGGGGCAGAGACTCCAGGCATGGCATAGCCCGGCCGACAGAGGAAAAACCCCAAACATTCTTGCATAATAACCTCATAGAAGTTGAACATGTTCACTGGGTGTGTTCATCTGAAAAGTTTCCATGCATGAGGTGTCAACAGAAATCTCCTCTCGGCCGGGCACGGTGGCTCACGCCTGTAATCCTAGCACTCTGGAAGGCTGAGGTGGGAGGATCGCTCAAGGCCAGGAGTTCAAGACCAGCCTGAGCAAGAGTGAGACCCCCGTCTCTACTATAAATAGAAGGAAATTAATTGGCTAACTAATATATATAGAAAAAATTAGCCGGGCATGGTGGCACATGCCTGTAGTCCCAGCTACTCGGGAGGCTGAGGCAGGAGGATTGCTTGAGCCCAGGAGTCTGAGGTTGCTGTGAGCTAGGCTGACGCCACGGCACTCTAGCCCGGGCAACAGAGTAAGACTCTGTCTCAAAAAAAAAGAAAAAAAAAGAAAGAACTCTCCTCTCACCCCAATCAGGTGTATCCTTGAAGGTACTTCTCCTTCAGTCACTCGAACGGCCTCATCGAACACGTTGGCGTTGGTCCGGGACAGCAGGGCCACCTGCCCCTTTGCGTCACCGCTGATGCCACCTTTGGGGAGAGAGCACAAACTGTACGGCACATCAAAATAAAGAGGAAAACTACTTTTTGTGACAAGTGCGGGAGGAGTAACTGAAAGCCTTACTCTGATGGTTTCCTCCGACCAGAGTCTTTTTCCGTACTCTCTTGCAGACGTCCAAGATGGTAGCGCCCACGTAAGCTATCTCCACGCCGAATCTGAAACTCTTGTCAGAAAGCAGCAAAACAAAGGCAGTTAGCAACCGCCCTGACGTCCACGCGCACGCCATCCCTGCCAAGGCACGGCCTCGCCCAACCCGGCACGGAAAGGGAATTTGATTTGTTTACTTTCAAGATCCTTCACCGCCTGGACAGGGCTTTATGTTCCGTTATTCCCCAATGCCAATAGGAAACTTTTCCTTTAAGCGAATCTATCCTTTTTTTCCAAATCAAATTTAGTGAAGTTCAAATTATACAAAAGATTAAGAGAAGGTGGGGAGGGTTTCTCCCCTTTACCTTTGAGACCCCTTGTGACAACTGACTTTACAATTACCGCCCGCACCCACCGGCCACGCGCAGAATCGTCGCAACCTGGCGCTCCCAACACGGCCCCTGCCCTGCTCGTGCTGTTTTAACTCCTCCTCCTCTACCAAAATCACTTCCTACCCCCCAAAGCTCAGCCCGAGACCCTACGCTTCCTTGACCATCCGGCTGGAAAGACGTCATTCTTCCCCAAACTCGTGGTATTTACTGCCTGTTTCCATGTATTCATAGCTTCAGGCAATGAAGTTTTATGTGCTTTGGTGACTAGCAATGACACAGCCAAAGGAAAATTAGACTTTTAACAAACAGTACTCTGTTGCTATAAAACTATTCTGAATGAACCATAGCCCCAATCACAACTATCCATGAGTCCAGACGGAGACAGATGAATGACTGACTGAATCAATGGGAGAGAAGAGACAACTCTCCTCCACAGAAGAATTCCAATAACTGATGAAGATTCCCCAACATGTGCTCAGTGTGGACTGAGGACAGGGACTTCCTTCAGCGCACACAGTGTGCAAGGGAGGGGCCTGGAGAACCCTGCTCCAGCCAGGCGATCAAGTTCAGCCCCGACTGTCATGAACTGCACTGATGAACACAGCACCTGCCCCCTGCCGCCTTTCTCCCAGAAGCCAGAACCCTAGTCCAACCATGAGAAAAAAACATAAGGCCGGGCGCGGTGGCTCACGCCTGTAATCCCAGCACTCTGGGAGGCTGAGGCAGGAGGATCCCTCAAGGGCCAAGAGTTTGAAACCAGCCTGAGCAAGAGCGAGACCTGGTCTCTACTATAAATAGAAAGAAATTAATTGGCCAACTGAAAATATATAGAAAAAATTAGCCGGGCATGGTGGCGCATGCCTGTAGCCTCAGCTACTCGGGAGGCTGAGGCAGGAGGATCGCCTGAGCCCAGGAGTTTGAGGTTGCTGTGAGTTAGGCTGACGCCACGGCACTCTAGTCCGGGCAACAGAGTAAGACTCTGTCTCAAAAAAAAAAAAAAAAGAAAGAAAGCAAACTCAGCCTCACACAGATGTGCTGCTGGAGAGGGGGGAGCGCCTAACGACTTTTTCGCAGTTGCCATGCTCACCGCTTGCCAAAATTTTAATTTGACTCGAAAGCAAAAATGTTATCCTTAACAACAAACACTGTCACAGTTATTTTCCCTGGAGTCACAGCACGCTTCATTCGTCTTCGGAAAAAAAAATGCCAAATACCCAAGTCGGGACAACCGGCGCTGGCCTGTCGGTTGTCCTCTCGAGCACGAGAGGTGCGAGACAGCAGCGGCCAGCTCGGCTCACAGCTCCTCCCCTGGCGACCGCCGTGCGGTAGCTGCCAGGGAATCGGCCCGGCTGTGCAGACCCGGGACCCCCGCTCTGGGAGGCCCTGCACGGGAGCCAGGGTGTTTTGCTGCGCCCTGAGCCGAGCGGGGGCCCTGCGCAGTGCCGGTGCGTGGGTGGCGCATAACGACGGGGGAAGCGTGACGCCGGCTCTCAGGCGCGGCGAGCGCTTACCTGCGTGAGATAGAAGACGTGGGTGTGGGGGACCGTGAACAGAGCGTTGACCGCACCGCGGAAGGTGTAGATCTGCTGGTGCGGGTCCCCTACGAAGATTTTCCCACAGGGCTGGGACAGAACTATGTTCATGATGGCTGCAAGCAACGAGAGGGGCGGTGAGAGAAACCTCGAGGCCTCCAACCCGCCCGGCAAGCAGAAAAGGGCGAAAACGCTTGCACAAAGTCGGCCGGGGAACGCGGAAAACAACGCTGCCTTTTTCTGCAGGACACGTGCACGCCATCAAAGGCAGCAGTTTTATGACGGACTAAAGAAATTACATTTGGAGGCCGGGCGCGGTGGCTCACGCCTGTCATCCCAGCACTCTCAGAGGCCCAGGCATGCGGATCGCTCAAGGTCAGGAGTTTGAGACCAGCCTGAGCAAGAGTGAGACCCTGTCTCTACTAAAAATAGAAAGAAATTAACTGGCCAACTAAAACTATATAGAAAAAAATTAGCCAGGCATGGTGGCGCATGCCTGTAGTCCCAGCTACTCGGGAGGCTGAGGCAGGAGGATCGCTTGAGCCCAGGAGTTTGAGGTTGCTGTGAGCTAGCCTGACGCCACGGCACTCACTCTAGCCCGGGCAACAAAGCGAGACTTCTGTCTCAAAAAAAAAAAAAAAAGAACCGAGCGAAACAGGTGGAGGAAGATAAAGGTGCTGCGGGTGGTGGAGGGGCGGCTGTTGGAATCTTAAGTCTCATAAGGAGGATCATATCTGCTCCTCTTCTCCATCACAAATAGGAACCGTCAACTCATGGCACACACGGGTCCTCTTACGTAGTCCCGAGGGTGTTTCTAGCATGTGAGACTACGGGTGTCCAGAGCAGTGCATCACCTGGGGTGCAGTCCTGGGCCTCGTCCACGAAGATGGCGTCGTAAGAGGCCAGCAGAGGCTTGCTCAGCTGCCAGAGCTTCAGGTAGCCTGAAAGAAGGGAGCGGCGAGGGTCACGGCGCGCAGGGAGGCGGCTCGCGCCACAGACGCCACGCCCGGAGCCCGCCTACCGTCGTGAGTCATCTGGTAGGCCTCTTCCGTGCACTCCCCCAGCTTCCGCATGTTGTCCCAGAGGCGGCTGGCTTCGAGGACACTGTTCTAGAGAGCAAGGGACACGCACGGTTTGAATTCCTGGAAAAGGCAGCATCCTGCAGTCCCACTGCCGCGCCCAGACCCCGGCGGGGGCGAAGGTGTCACCGCAGAAGGGTGAGCGGTGCCTCTGCACGCTGCAGAGGGGGAAGCAGCTGGCGCCGCGCCAAGCCCGGACTCTGGAGGAACCAGACAAGGCTGGACCGTGGTCCTAGATTCACGAGTGATCCTTAACTCACAAAAAGGAACGGCAAGGGACGGACAGAGACTCGATAAAAACAAGAAGTAGCTTTTCCACTAGTAAACTCTATTCTACGGAACCAATAACCAAACAGACGAGGAAAGAGATTCCCAGTCTTGAGATAAGACCAGATTCAGGGGCCAGAAACCCCAACGTCAAGCTCTTGTGAGCCCCGGGCGGGCCGTGTCCTGTCCTGTCCTGTCCTGTCTCCTGCTAAAACTGTTCCGAGGATTGAGTGAGAGGTCCACGGGTGTTCCTCACGGGAGAAAACACCAGACCATCGGCAGCTACGAGTGTGGGCTGCAGCCTCCCCCTGCCACCTCCCACTTCCTGCGGGCTGCTCTGCAGAAACGACAGCCTGACGCTGTGCCACGCCAGCCCCGTGCCTGGGAAGCCCTCCCGCCTGTCCCCGGGCCCTGACCCGAGCGACGCCACCGGATGCTCACCAGCTTCTCGCTCTGCTCCACCATCACTCTCTGCCCTTGGCTGTTCTTACACCAGATGGGCACGTGGTCGATGGTCAGCTCCTCGTCGGCCGAGGCGAAGAAGTTCTCCAACGTCTTGCACACGAGCTTGGCCCGTATGAACCCGCCCTTCCCCTCAGCGAGCACGGAATTGACCATGAAGGGCGTCAACTTGAAGAGATTCAACTTCTTCTTTGACTGGTACCTGTAACGCACAGCCCAAAGGAACAGAATTTGCCCTTCCTGGTCGGGGGCAGGGGTTGGGGGTGGGGTATTTACTATCTGTCCCGTCCCCTCCAGCAGCATCACAAGGTGGCTCCAAGGTGTCACATGAGCTGAGACTAAATTTTTAAAAGCCAGAGAGAATCCTGCAAGGTCCATGCCCGATTTGAAATGGCTTCACCTGGGCTTTCAGGAACTCACACGGAACAACCCAGGAGAGAAATCAGCTCGTGGCAGCTGATAGCACTATTCCAAGGCGTGGTCCGGGCTCCAAGAGGCCCCCTCTCCAAGGGGACACTCAATGTTTCCTGAAGTTTCTACACCCAGGAAACCCGGGGCAAGGGCACCTCCGCTGAGTCTCCCACCCACCCCAGCCCCCTTCCAAGGAGAGCCGAAAACCAATCAGGACTGGTGACAGCCCAACTTTGAACAAGGTGTTTTGACCTCCGTGCCTCAATTCCAAAAAAATGAGAACAGCCCCACTCAGCAGGATACTTTTACGTGCAAACAATGTATTTTACAGGATAAAAAGCACAAATCACTAAATCTGTAAGCGGAGGCGATGGCATGACGCTTCCTCAGGCTGCTGTGGTGCAAGCTCACACGTGGCCGCAGCGACGGCCACGGCAAAGGCAGCGGGACGAGGGCCGCACTCACTTGCGCCCGACGTGCCCGTAGGCCATGGAGTGGAAGGTCTTGCAGGTGACGTTGCTGGGGAAGGCGCGCTCGGCCTGCTTGGCGATGCTCTTGTTGAACGTCACGTACAGGAACCTGCTCTGAGACCACTTCTCCGCGTACTTGACCAGGGTGGAGGTCTTCCCGGTGCCTGGGGAAGCCCAGAGGAAGGAGGTGACCCTCTGACCCGGGCAAAAACGTGCCCGAGGACCCCGCCAATCAGGTCCGGGCTCGTTCCACAAGGGCAGCGGATTCGAAGCCAGGATCTCTCGGCCCTGGCGGTTCCCAGCCGAGTCACAAAGAGCCCCTGACCGCACCCAGCTTCCGTCTGCTCCTCAGCGGTGCGCCGGTGACACCTGCTGTAGGGTTTGTGAAGACAATGATGATTTGGGAGGGGGGGCCATGAGAAGAAGGAATGTCTCTGGAGAGACCTGGATCTGGCTTTGAATTCTCTACCACTGTGTGCCTATTTAACCCGGGGTGAGTCTCTCTGAGCCTCAGTTTCTTTCTTTCTTTTTTTTTGTCTCACTGTCGCCTGGGCTAGAGTGCTGTGGCATCAGCCTAGCTCACAGCAACCTCAAACTCCTGAGCTCAAGCGATCCTCCCGCCTCAGCCTCCCAAGTAGGTGGGACTACAGGCATGTGCCACCATGCCCGGCTCATTTTTTCTGTATATTTTTAGTTGCCCAATTAATTTCTTTCTATTTTTAGTAGAGACGGGGGGGTCTCGCTCTTGCTCAGGCTGGTCTTGAACTCCTAACCTTGAGGGAGCCTCCCGCCTCGGCCGCCCAGAGTGCTAGGATGACAGGCGTGAGCCACCTCGCCCGGCCCAATTTCTTTATCTACAAAATGAGCGTAACTAACCAAGCTTACAGGATGTTGTTAGGATCAGCGCCACGCCGTGCATACTGCAGGCATTTAATAAACGCTATCAGCAGGACGCTTGGCCGGGAAAGCAGCAGGATGAGATTCCAGGTTTTAAAAAATAGCATGAGCAAAGGTTGTGACAAGAGACTAACCAGGCTCCTGGGGAGACTGTAAGCGGCTCGAATTGGCTGACAGGGCAGGATAACAGCAGACACGCAGGTTACAACAGAGGGAGGGCCGGCCCTCTTGACGTCGCCCTAATCAGCGAGGGAGGGACCGAAACCCTCTGCGCAGGAGATCACCATGGCCTCCCTCTCCAGGGCAGTCAGGGACTGAGCACACACGACAATGATGATGATGCTGATGAAGGGCTGGACCAATCCCAGTGGCATCTACCCCACAGCTAACCCCTGTGAACAGGAGGGTGAGGGAGAGGGAGCGTCCTGAGCCCGCCGCTTCTGAGATGGTCTGATGAGGTAGTCCAATAACTGACCCGGGTGATGGCTGGTAGCCGGAAGGGGACGCAGTGAGAAAGGGCAGAAAACAGCCACATGCTGAGCCCGACACACTCCCTTACCTGCAAATGCCATAATCTTCACCACCTGCAGAGGTTCCATCTTATGATTCAGAATCAGCTGTTGTTCGTGTGTAAGCTGGATGGTTTTCTTGCTATAATGATTACAGAAGAGAAATTAGAAAAAAAAAAAAAACAGAAAAGGATCGAAAAGCCCAGAGGACAGACTGCCCCAAAACCAAACAAACTGAGTAAACAAAAGGAGACCCACACCTATCACACAGGGAGGCCGTGGTGGGTGGATCGCTCAAGGTCAGGAGATCGAAACCAGCCTGAGCAAGAGCGAGACCCCGTCTCTACTACAAATAGAAAGAAATTAATTGGCCAACTAATACATATAGAAAAAACGAGCCAGCATGGTGGCGCATGCCTGTAGTCCCAGCTACTTGGGAGGCTGAGGCAGGAGGATCGCTTGAGCCTGGGAATTTGAGGTTGCTGTGAGCTAGGCTGACGCCATGGCACTCTAGACCAGGCAACAGAGTGAGTCTCTGTCTCAACAACAACAAAAAAAGGTGACCCACAAAAGGCCTCCCCCCAGTAGGGGGATAAAAATGCTCTAAAAATAGATTACAAATGCTGATTACACAACTCAGTGAATTTAGTAAAAAAATGACTGAATTTTACTCTTAAAATGGGCAAATGTCACATAATGCACGATAGGCCTTCATACAGTCGTTGAAGTGAAACAAAACACCTCCCTTCTTAAGTACAGAGAGAGTCAAGAACGGGAGAGAAAACACACACCCAAATTGATACAGATCCTTACCCTGGCCAGACGGATGGCTCCTCCTTAACTTTTGTGGTCTGAGTGCAGGAATTCTCCTGAAGATATAGGCAATAGAAAATGTTGTAGTGAATCCTAATAGGGAAAAAATCAGATTTAGAGAGTTTCAAATTCAAGTCACAACCTGTATCTCATTTTTCCTCACATGTGTTTAAACTCCTTACCAGTCCTAAAAAGAAAACACTACCATCATTTTATTTTTTTTAGAAAAAGGGGGGAAAGTAATTTAAATGTATCTACGGCTGACAGAGCACTCTGGGGACACAGTCTGGGGACCGGTGCCCTGTTTCCGAACATAACACCAAGCAGGGACCAAGACCAGGACAGGAGCCCGGGCTGTGCTCTCGAGACACAAATAATCAAAAACATGAAGTAAGAATGAACCAGTGGGCCGGGCGTGGTGGCTCACGCCTGTAATCCTAGCACTCTGGAAGGCTGAGGCGGGCGGATTGCTCAAGGTCAGGAGTTCGAAACCAGCCTGAGCGAGACCCCGTCTCTACCAAAAATAGAAATAAATTAATTGACCAACTAAAAATATATATACAAAAAATTAGCCGGGCATGGTGGCGCATGCCTGTAGTCCCAGCTACTCGGGAGGCTGAGGCAGTAGGATCGCTGAGCCCAGGAGATTGAGGTTGCTGTGAGCCAGGCTGACGCCACGGCACTCACTCTAGCCTGGGCAACAAAGTGAGACTCTGTCTCAAAAAAAAAAAAAAAGAATGAACCAGTGGGCAACAATATAAACTCTGCTCCTAGCGATGAAATTCTTGTTTGGGTGATATTTACAACACTTGCTAATAAAGTTAACTTAACACGAGTACCTTCCTGTAGAGCTCTGTTTCTCTACCACGGGGCGGGGGGTGGGGGGGTGGGGAGGGAACAGCGAGAAGGTGGCCATCTGCAAGGCGGGAAGCTGGTTCCTAACCAGGAGTGGAATCTGCCAGCACCTTGATCTTGGACTTCCAGCCTCCAGAATCGTGAGAGAGTGAATGTCTGTGGGTTAAGCCTGCCGGGCTGAGGGACTGCGTCACGGCAGCGCCAGCAGACCAAGGCACGTGCTTTCCTGTTTCTCACCGATGTCCCCGTGAGCATGCAGATTCGTGCGTGAGGACACTATTCATCATTTCTGCACTCGTCTTGTGCAGATCCTACCACACAGCTCCTCGCCTCGATGCCACGGACAAGGGGACAGCACAAGCCACAGTCCACAAAACCGGAACACAGCTCAGAAGCAGCACAAGCTTCTGCAGAATCGCATTCCCTCCTCGTACCTCACCAAGAATGACGGCATCGTTCCTCTGGGGCCACCAGCCAAGTTGCGGGGGGCGGGGTGGGGGGCTCACTAATTCCAGGGGCCACTGTCTCTCCCTGGAGATGGAGAGCCCCCTCTGGCTTCTCCTGCTCCTCCAGGACTGGCCGCGTGACCGTGCTGCCCGACCCCGCACTCGGGATCAGGGCCCGGGCCCCTGCCCAGTACCCAGCACGCTTGGGATTTTATTCCAACTCCAACCGTGGCCCCGTCCACCTCTCGGGATCCCGCGCGAGCCTCCCGCTCTTGCCACACTGGACCTTTTCTCTTCCTCACCTGCCCCAAATTCATCTTTGGCCCTCGAATTGTCTGTGCCTTCTCCTGAGACGCTCTCTCCCCCAGTCTCAAAGCGACACACACAACAGATGTGCCTCCTCAGAGACGCTCTTCCCACCCAACCAAAGGCGGCTGCCCCCCCACCCCTGCGCCCCATCCCGTCCCGTTTCTCTGCAGTGCTTCGCGCTCACTGCGACGTCCCTGCTTCGCACGTCTACTCACGAGCTCCCTGTCTGCCCTCACTAGAGCAAGAGCCTGTCTAACTTTTTCACGGCGGACGTGCTCGTGCCTGGATGCCTCCCGGACACGCGGCAGGTGCCCGGTGCTTGCCAGACGCACGCCCCTCCGCACGCCGCCCAGGAACACCCTCGAGTCCCTGGCACCCGAACCCGCACGCCACGGCCTCTCTCACAGGACTTTTCCACCATCCTTACAGCCCACCCCCAAAGTGAGGCGTGCAGGAAGCAGGGCCTAACGTTCTCCCGGGAAACCACCGTGGCTGGGCGTCAACAAAGAAGGCTTCCCCCAGTGAGGGGCTTCACCTAAGGCTGCGATACCTGCGAACGTAAAAACCGCCCCGGGGACAACGCACGAGCACGTGGTGGCGTCGTGTGCGCATGAAGGAAGCGCTGTTCCCTGCACCCCACCCCAACCTGCTGCCCTTCACCCTGCAGGGGAGCCTGGGGTTGGGCAGGGCGTGTCACGTGAGTGCCTCCCACGCCATCGCAGGGCTCCCTGTCCTCCTCCCGGGGGTTACCTATTGCTGATGTTGATGCCCTTCTCCCGCATGGCGTAGAGAAGCACGGCTATGCAGTACAGCGTCTCGGTGACGTCCGGCATGGTCACCGTGGAGCCAGGTCTCCGGAGGCAGAAGAGCAGCTGCTGGATGTCGTTCACGCTGCCGGAGAGAAGGACCACGGCCGCCACCAGGGCCCAGACGTTGACGCCCTGCGAGCCAGGTGCGCCGGGAGAGGGGAGAGACCCAGACACAGGCCGCAGTTAGTACGAGTCACAGCGGAAAGCAGCCCCGAGTGTTAAAGAATGCACTCCAAGGCAGGAAAGGCCCACGGCCCTGCTCACTGCAACCACGCCGCGAAGGAAAACTCACTCCCCGCCCCACGAAGTGTTTCACACGAGAAAGAGCCATGCACACGCCTGGATTTCCCCACCCTCTGTGGCCTTCGGGAGTACAGGCGGGGGCTGCGAACAGCTTCCAGGATAAAATCCGGAACCCCTGAACTGGATGCGGAGCAACGGGACTGAGACTCAGGATGCTGAGGGCTCCCTCCAGCTTCTCGTCACCTCACTGTGTCTGCAGCAAGACCCTTAATTCCTTTGCCCCTTTCAAATAACCAACATTGTCAACAAGGGAATGGTTGTCTTATAAAAAAAATCCTATTATTCAAAGTGTTCAGAGGCTAAATGACCACCTTTTGGAAATATTTTGGCCAGGCGTGATGGCTCATGCCTATAATCTTAGCACTCTGGGAGGTCGAGGCAGGTGGATCGCTCAAGGTCAGGTGCTCAAGACCAGCCTGAGCAAGAGCGAGACACCATGTGTACTAAAAATAGAAAGAAATTATCTGGACAACTAAAAAAAAAAATATATATATATATAAAATTAGTCGAGCATGGCGGTGAATGTCTGTAATCCCAGCTACTCGGGAGACTGAGGCAGAAGGATCGCTTGAACCCAGGAGTGTGAGGTTGCTGTGAGCTAGGCTGACGCCAAGGCACTCTAGCCCGGGCAACAGAGATTCTGTCTCAAGAAAGAAAAATATTGCAAACAAATTCCTCAAAAGAATGGGACATCAGATTAAATTTTTAAAAAAATTCCTTCTAAAGCCGGGCGCCGTGGCTCACGCATGTAATCCTAGCACTCTGAGAGGCTGAGGCGGGCGACTGCTCGAGGTCAGGAGTTCGAAACCAGCCTGAGCAAGAGCAAGACCCCGTCTCTACTATAAATAGACAGAAATTAATTAGCCAACTAATATATATATAAAATTAGCCGGGCATGGTGGCACATGCCTGTAGTCCCAGCTACTCAGGAGGCTGAGGCAGAAGGATTGCTGGAGCCCAGGAGTTTGAGGTTGCTGTGAGCTAGGCTGACGCCACGGCACTCACTCTAGCCTGGTCAACAAGCGAGACTCTGTCTCAAGAAAGAAAAATATTGCAAACAAATTCCTCAAAAGAATGGGACATCAGATTAAATTTTTAAAAAAATTCCTTCTAAAGCCGGGCGCCGTGGCTCACGCATGTAATCCTAGCACTCTGAGAGGCTGAGGCGGGCGACTGCTCGAGGTCAGGAGTTCGAAACCAGCCTGAGCAAGAGCAAGACCCCGTCTCTACTATAAATAGAAATAAATTTGTTGGCCAACCAATATATATATAGAAAAAATTAGCCGGGCATGGTGGCACATGCCTGTAGTCCCAGCTACTCAGGAGGCTGAGGCAGGAGGATCGCTTGAGCCCAGGAGACTGAGGTTGCTGTGAGCTAGGCTGACGCCACGGCACTCACTCGAGCCCGGGCAACAAAGTGAGACTCTGTCTCAAAAAAAAAAAAAAAAAAACAGAAAGAAATATTTCAGAGACGATTCCTCAAAAGAATGGGAAGTCAGATCAAATTTTTTTAAAAATTCCTTCTAAATCTCATAACCTATAACTATATGGTTTTTCATTTATTTCTCCAGTGACAAGATTAATGCTTCAGCGTGTCCAGAGGTTAAAGATTTTGAACGTAAAGCAGCCCCCAGCTGAACTTCTTCACGAGCGCACTCTCTCCCAGCGAGAAAAGACGCCGCCTCCTCCCACGGCCTCCCGACGTACCCCGGCGGCGGCAGCGTAGAGGTCGGGCAGGTGTTGGCGCACGCACGCCTCGGCCTCGGGAAGCAGGGGGTGGTCCCTCAGGCTCCACAGCACCCTCTCAGGGTCCACGCTTGGGGAGCACTTCACGGTGGCGGTGTATCTGCAGAACGTTCCCAGCAGAGCCCGTGAGCAGGGTGATCGCAGGCACCGACCGCCGCACAGGGGAGGGCTTTGAAACCTGCCTCCCCTGCGGGGGTGGGGGGAAGCAGCTCACCGTATGAGGTTCAGCACGCACAGGTCCGACTCCTTGTCTATGCCACAGGCCAACAGGACGCCGTCCACTTTGCTCACTGCTTGCTCCTCGTTCATCACGTACCGGTGATACAGCTTCTTCCAAGGAATGAACTGCGTGGTTTAAGAGACCCAAAATAACAAACGGCTATTAGAAAGCAGACTGAGCCACAAACACATAGATAACTTTTTTTTTTTTTTTTTTGAGACAGAGTCTCGCTTTATTGCCTAGACCAGAGGTGAGTGCCATGGCGTCAGCCTCGCTCACAGCAACCTCAAACTCCTGGGCTCAAGCGATCCTCCTGCCTCAGCCTCCCGAGTAGCTGGGACTACAGGCATGCGCCACCATGCCCGGCTAATTTTTTCTATATATATATTGGTTGGCCAACAAATTTATTTCTATTTATAGTAGAGACGGGGGGTCTCGCTCTTGCTCAGGCTGGTTTTAAACTCCTGACCTTGAGCAATCCGCCCACCTCGGCCTCCCAGAGTGCTAGGATGACAGGCGTGAGCCCCCGCCCCCGGCCTATAGATAATCTTCTAACAACTGAAAAGCAACTATAGCTCATGATTCGAAAGCTGTGCAAACCAGGTAGAAATATAATACAAATTTTAGTTGGAAACCAGGAGAACGGGGTCAGTCTTGGTCCTGGTTCTAACACTAACTTGCTATAGAATTTGGGAAAAGCCAGCGCAGTTTCCCTGGCTGAAATATCAGCCCACTAGTAGCTCAGGGTTTCAGTGATAATAAAATAGTATGAAAGCTGTGGCTATACTAACATCAGACGAAACAGACTTTAAGCCAAACACTGCTTCAGAGATAAAGAAGGACAATACACAATGCTAAAAGGGTCAGTTCACCAAGAAGATACAACAATTATAAAGCGTATGCACCAAATATCAGAGCTACAAAATATATGATGCAAACATTGACAGGATTGAAGGAAGAAACGGGCAGCAACACAGTAACAGCAAGAGACTTCAACACCCCAATTTCCATAATGGATAGAACAACCAGACAGAGGATGAACGAGGGAACGGGACTTGAGGAATACTGTAGACTAACTGGATCTCACACACACACACACACACACACACACACACACACAGTGCATTCTACCCAACAACTGCAGAATACTGGCCTCTATCAAAGAGCGAATAATTTAAACTGGGGAGGAAAACCATAAGTTTTCCTCCATCTATCACCATCTATCACCAAAGTACGTGATAGATCCTGTAAGAGAGGTGTAAATTGCTATAGTAGCACACAGAAGAGAACACGATTAACTCCAGTGGGCTGAAAGGGGAAGGAACAGGTAGGTAGTAAGAGCTAAGCCTTCTACCTCTCAGTCAACTGTAGGAATAAAAAGAAAATAAAAAAAAAAGAGAGCTAAGCCTTGGACAACAGGTCAGGTGTCACGGGGACGCGCGGGGCCCTCCAGGCGGGGTGGGGGGACTAGAGCCATCACAGCGGGCAGACGGGACACAGGGAGGACGGGCTGAGGCTGGGTATCGGGGGCGGCACAGACACGAGGCCGTGATCGACCCTGAGCAGCGCGGACGTCACCCCAAAGGCAAGGGGAAGCCACCGTTTTCTGAGCGGACCCTCTGGTCAGAAGCATGCACCCGTTCGTGTCCCCCGACCCCGAGCACTGCACTCACCAGCGGGTCTCGGATGATCTCCCTCCACAGGTGGCACACCAGGCTCAGGTTCCAGTAGAGGTCCTCCACCGGGAGGAAGGCGAACACGTGCCGCAGGACCTCGCTGGGCAGGCTGCAGATGGGACTCGGCGCCTCCTGGCAGGGCAAGGTCCCAAGAAGCCCATAGTGCTCATCAGGCTCGGGATCGGGGCCAACGCCCCCTACGTCCTGGTCGGTTTCCCCAGACTCTGCAGAGAGCCGTGACCCGCCGTCCTCCACCTCCTCCTGCCGCGCTTCCCCGGGCCTCGGGCACGGCGGGGACGGATGATGCCGCGGGGTTTTCTTAGAAAGTCCATCCCACTGGCCGGCCCCTGTGGCCTGATTACCATCGTCCTCCTCAAAGGACCGGGACCGCTTCCTGGTGGGCAGGGGAGACCCCGAGGAGCCCAACCTCGCTTCTCCATGGCTCTCCTGAGGTGGGGCGCAGCTGCTCTCTGCAGGAGAGATCATGTCACCCTCCGAGTCCTGACAGCTGTCCTGGCCAACAGAATTGCTTCTGGCCATGTCATTGGTGCGCGGCTGCTGGCCAGCTAGGAAGAACTCACGGTTGTATCTTGGACATCCTCGACCTGTCCAGAGAACCCAAAGAAGAAAGGATGAGAAGTGAGCAATGACTGCTCACCTGCTGTGGAACCAAGTAAGACAAACCAATTTACACGTATCTATGTTAACAGAGGAAAGAGCAATGAATATATTTATGGGCCAGCTGATTATTTAAACAGCTAATCCAAAAATATTTATATTTGGCCCTGGGGTATAAGCAGACACACACTTGCAAAGAGACGGAGGCCAGGGTCTGGGTGGCGTGGTGGCCCACATTACACCCTGCAATGTACACAAGGGTGACACGCTGCTCATGCAACAGACAAAAAGGACACAGCTGCCCACACTCACAAAACACAGCTCTCCCGACTCGCTCCCACGATAGGAAGTCTAAGTGTGCGTAAGTGGAAAGGAACATGCTTGACGTTATTAGGATCCAGAAAATCCCACTCCTCATTTGATAAAGTTAAAACTTTTTATTTCCTCCTGTGAAGCTGACACATCAATATATTTTACAATAAAAAGGAAGGATTCGGAATTCTTTTAATATTACTAGAGTGGCACCTAATCTCTGCTACACATTTATTTATTCGACCAGCATTTAACTAAGTACCTATGAGTAGGAGACAAATATAAAGTGAAAAACAGCCTATTTCCTGACCTCACAGAGTTTTCAGGCACGTGGGGAAACCAAATGGTCACTTCACACATCACCACGGCATTTTTTCAAACTCCTAAAAATTATTTTAAAATGCTAGTGAAGTGACTGAACATCTTATCAATATATAACAACATCCATGGTTCCTTTCTATTTTTTATTTAATTTTTTATTTATTTATTTTTTTTGAGACAGAGTCTCGCTTTGTTGCCCAGGCTAGAGTGAGTGCCGTGGCGTCAGCCTAGCTCACAGCAACCTCAACTCCTGGGCTCAGCAATCCTCCCTCTCAGCCTCCGAGTAGCTGGGACTACAGGCACGCGCCACTATGCCCGGCTAATTTTTTGTATATATATTAGTTGGCCAATTAATTTGTTTCTATTTATAGTAGAGACGGGGTCTTGCTCTTGCTCAGGGTGGTTTCGAACTCCTGACCTTGAGCGATCAGCCCGCTTCGGCCTCCCAGAGTGCTAGGATTACAGGCGTGAGCCACCGCGCCCGGCCCATGGTTCCTTTCTAAATGGCTGTAGCCAAAACTCTCACTTTGGAAAATAAGAGAATGGACTGACACTAAGTTTAGTCTTTAATAGAATTTATGAAATTGAAACTCCTATTTTTTTCTATATTGGGGGAAAAAAAATTATAACTGCGTCTGGGGCAACTTGATAGAAACCTGGAGTTTGAAGTCAGGATGGCCAGGGTTAAATCCTGGTATTTTCTTTTTTTTTTTGAGACAGAGTCTCACTCAGTTGCCCAGGCTAGAGTGCCGTGGCATCAGCCTAGCTCACAGCAACCTCAAACTCCTGGCTCAAGCGATCCTCCTGCCTCAGCCTCCCAAGTAGCTGGGACTACAGGCATGCGCCACCATGGCCGGCTAAATTTTTTTGTATATATTTTAGTTGGTCAATTAATTTCTTTCTATTTATAGTAGAGACGGATCTCGCTCTTGCTCAGGCTGGTTTCGAATTCGCTACCTGGAGCGATCCGCACCCCTCGGCCTCCCAGAGTGCTAGGATTACAGGCGTGAGCCACCGCGCCCTGCCAAATCCTGGTATTTTCTGATCGTCACATCCAGCCACCCTCCCACGCCCCCGGTCATGCAGAGCCTGCCACCTGCTCAGAGCGTGCTCACAACACAGGCCACAGCCACTACTGATTTTGAAGACGTACCCCTACTCCCTCTCTTTGTTCTGGGTTTAGGGTAGAGTCCATGGTTCGGGTCTCTGCTTGTCCATCTCTGACCAAAGGGCTGGGTCGCAGACAGATGACTCAGAGCCAGATGCCGGCAGTCGATGGCGGTAAGATGTTTCCGCTTAAAGGGACTCACTGTTTTGTACCAACGGGCAGAAGAAATGGGACAGTCGTGAGTGATCACCGGTTCTACAAGCTAGCCAGCAAATGACCCCCGACCTTCTGTACAGTGACCAGTGATTTTGTGGAGCACCCCAGCCAGCCCTTTCCCTCCCCTCATAAGCCCACCAACTTTTAGTCATTTCACAGTTTCTTTGCATTTCTCACTTAAAATTTAAGAAAGTAGGCCACTCGTGGTGGCTCACGCCTGTAATCCTGGTACTCTGGGAGGCCGAGGCGTGTGGATCGTTTGAGCTCAGGAGTTCGAGACCAGCCTGAGCAAGAGCGAGACCCCGTTTCTACTAAAAATAGAAAGAAATGAATTGGACAGCTAAAAATATATATAGAGAGAGAAAAAATTAGCCGGGCATGGTGGCGCATGCCTGTAGTCCCAGCTACTCGGGAGGCTGAGGCAGAAGGATCACTCGAGCCCAGGAGTTTGAGGTTGCTGTGAGCTAGGCTGACGCCACGGCACTCACTCTAGCCTGGGCAACAAAGCGAGACTCTGTCTCAAAAAAAAAAAAAATAATAATAATAAGTAACATGTCTCAACTACTTATGAACAGAAAATCAAATAGCCCCTCTGCTGTAATGATTTTGCAATGATGTATAACAGTTTCTCTACACTAAATGCCAACAGTCTTATTCACACAGAGGCAAAATACGAATGTAAAGTTTTCCTACATTAAAAAAAAATTGAGGCCGGGCGAGGTGGCTCACACCTGTAATCCTAGCTCTCTGGGAGGCCGAGGCGGGTGGATCGTTTGAGCTCAGAAGTTTAAGACCAGCCTGAGCAAGAGCGAGACCCCGTCTCTACTAAAAATAAAATAAAAAAAAAAGTTAATTGGCCAATTGAAAATGGAAAAAAATAAAGGAATTAAAAAAAATTTTTTTTTAAATTGAAATTTTTCTATATTGGGAAAAAACATACGCTTAAAGTCTGATCGTTTTCTTCTAAAAAATAAGACATGATGTCAGGCGTGGTGGCTCACACCTGTAATCCCAACACTTTGGGAGGCAGAGGCAGGAAACAAGATCAGCCTGGGCAACATAGCGAGACCCCTGTCTCTAGGGAAAATTTAGAACAAAATTAGCCGGGCGTGGTGGCACGCACCGGTGGTCCCAGCTACTCAGGAGGCAGGAGGATTGATTGCTTGAGCCCAGCAGTGTCAGGCTGCAGTGGACTCCGTGGGCTGAGATCACACCACTGCACCCCAGTCTGGAAGACAGAGCAAGACTCTGCTTCTAAAATAAAATTAAAATTTTAAGAATTAAAAATAAGATATGAAATTTTAGTTTTCTGTTCAAAACCCTTCATATTATAAATATAACTTCAATTACTATTTTGCCTGAACGAGGACCTCTGGTCATACTGGCAACAGAGAGAAGGTACAGGTACAATGGGACATCCAGAATACAGATAAATCCTAGGCTAGGTGCTCTACAACACACACGTGGCTTAACTACAGGAGCAGCTGCAGGACTCCAGCCAACAAACCCCAAAGACCCTATAAACCCAAGACAGCAGACTGGTTATCTGCTTTGCTCTCTCTTCAAGTATTCCCAATTGCTTCAGAGCTGGCCAGTATGACGTCTATAATTAGAACTGGAGATGCTAGAGAGAAGTCACCAATAGAGAATGTCTCACTTAAATAGGAGGTGAACGTCTACTGCCAAACTGGCCGGGAAGAGGGAAGGCTTTCATGAACAAAATCACCAAGGAGCAAGATAAACATCAAACCACTCAAATGTGTAACTATGTGATCCCGGACCTTGAGGCCAGCTGCAGGCTGCTCAGCCGAAGAGCGCATCAGGTCACAGAAGGATTCTGGAAGTGAACGGAGACACACAACCGATTAGAACGCCAGGCTCAGTCGAGGGTTCTGATGCCCGTCCAAGTCTGACATAGTCCTGAATTTGGACGTAGCGATGCAGAAGAAGCCGTCAGACTTGTGTGGAAGAGTTACTCATACATGCAGGATGAACCCCAGAACTTTTTCTATTAAGGATATAAGAATGGCTTCATCCCAGCCTTTCCCGGCAGACTAACTGCAGGCGGTGGTACCCTAATACAAAGCACTCAGGCATTGATAGTGACCGTCAACTAGATAGAGATGTCTTAACCACGCACCTAAGAGTCAAAGATGGCAAGTGTGCTCCAAAATAAGGAACTAGCCCACCTTATTCACACCTGTACCCTCTGCACATAGCTCTGTGCCTGACACGTAGCACATGGCATGAACTCAATGTTTGTGTCCCCCAAAACTCATATTTTAAAATTCTCCCCACCTAAGGTGATGGTATTAGGAGGTAGGGACCTTGGGAGGGGATTAGGTCACGAGGCTGGAGTCCCCTGATTGGGATTAGTGCCCTTATAAAAGAGGCCCCACAGCGGGACGGGGTGGGGTGGCTCACGCCTGTAATCCTAGCACTCTGGGAGGCCGAGGTGGGCAGATTGCTCGAAGAGGAGTTCGAGCAGGAGTTCGAAACCAGCCTGAGCAAGAGCGAGACACCCCCGTCTCTACTATAAAAATAGAAAGAAATTAATTGGCCAACTAATATATATAGAAAAAATGAGCCGGGCATGGTGGCGCATGCCTGTAGTCCCAGCTACTGGGGAGGCTGAGGCAGGAAGATGGCTTGAGCCCATGAGTTTGAGGTTGCTGTGAGCTAGGCTGATGCCACGGCACTCACTTTAGCCTGGGCAACAGAGTGAGACTCTGTCTCAAAATGAATAAATAAATAAAAATAAGTAAAATAACTAAAAGAGGCCCCAGAGAGCTCCCTCACCCCTCCTGCCACATAGATCAAGCTAGAAAAGGCACCACTTATGAACCAGGAGGTAGGCTCTCACCAGACACAGGCTCTGCCAGCACCTTGCCATTGGACTTCCCGCCTCCAGAACTGTGAGATGGGAGTTCTGTTATTCGGGGCATTTTGTTATAGCAGCCCAAATAAACTAAGACACTACGTGCTCCATGAATACTTAATAAGCAGACGAAGCTAACAAAGACAGCAGGTGGAAGTGTCAGGTTGGGAAGCACAGGAGCCTATGTCCTGGATCACCGGGAACGTGCTGCAGATCTGCTCTCACAAGGAACTTGGAAGGGGCAGACCCAAAGGGAGACCTCCCCAGAGATACACCAGACAAGAGGACATCAAAAAATTGTTCATCCCTGGGCAGGTGCAGTGTTCACACGTATAATCCCATCATTTGGGGAGGATGAGGCAGGAGGATTGCTTGCAACAAGGAATTCAAGACCAGCCTGAGCAACACAGTGGGACCTCATCTCTACAAAAAATTTTAAAATTAGCCAGGCATGGTGGCACATGCCTGTACTCCCAGCCACTTGGGAGGCTGAGGCAGAAGGATCACTTGAGAACAGGAGTTCAAAGCAGCAGTGAACTATGCTTGGGCCACTGCACTCCAGCCAGGGTAACAGAACAAAATTCTGTCTCCAAAAAAAAAAAAAAAAGTTCAACCCCACTGTTTTGAAAAGTAGGTAATATGGACAGATCTTTATTTATGTATTTACATCATAATATACATCTGAATCTAAAATGCTTTTTGAAAAGGTTAACTGTTTGCCAAAATCTAATAGCACAGGAGTAAAAGGAAGAGCTAATGGGAGTGTTGGAACATAATATTCTGCTTCTAGAGAGTTCTGGTATATTCCAGTGTGTTCCGGCCAAAAAGCCACGGAAGGAGCTAAGGTTAACCCCTGGGAGAGGGGCACCTAGACGGGAAGTTCTGGCTTTTGTGTACTGATGTAAGTTGTCCTTTTTTTGGTTTTTTTGTTGGTTTTGTTTGTTTGTTTTTGAGACAGAGTCTCACTCTGTTGCCCGGGCTAGAGTGCCGTGGCGTCAGCCTAGCTCACAGCAACCTCAATCTCCTGGGCTCAAGCCATCCTCCTGCCTCAGCCTCCCGAGTAGCTGGGACTACAGGCATGGGCCACCATGCCCGGCTAATTTTTTATATATATATATATTTTTTTTTTCCTTAGGCATTCCCAAACATTCTGTAATATATATATATATATTTTAGTTGGTCAATTAATTTCTTTCTTTTTTTTAGTAGAGACGGGGTCTCTCGCTCAGGCTGGTTTCGAACACCTGACCTTGAGCAATCCGCCCACCTCGGCCTCCCACAGTGCTAGGATTACAGGTGTGAGCCACCGCGCCCGGCCCTGATGTAAGCTGTCTTTATCTGTGGTCCCCAATCCCCAGTACTGGTCCGTGGCCTGTTAGGAAATGGGCTGCCCATCACTTCCTGAGTTCTGCACCCCACCCCTACCCCTACCCACAACACGGCCGGTCTGCGGAAAATCTGTCTTCCATGAAACCAGCCCCTGGTGCCAAAAAGGTTGGGGACTGCTGGTCTATTTTATACACTTGGAATGGAGTTACCTGAGCCCTGACTTCGCTGGGAGGCAGAGCTGGCACTTTTATTGGATTTGCATATCAAAAATAACTTTTCTAACTCGAGCTAAAGGTCATGAAAACTAAGCTGTATTTCAGGTCTCCAAGAAATAAGGGTTGTGACGCACTACACTGGGAGCCAGCAGCCCTGTGTCCACCACCTCCAGTTGCAAGAGTCCCTTAATGTCCCAGTCACTTAAAGCCCACAGAGGCCGTGTGGCCCATCAGAAGACCACCTACACTTGACGGGTATACCCACCCACCACCGAAGCCCTGATTGAGTCCCTTACCTGTAAGAATGAGGATTATAATAACCTACCATACTGAATTCACAGAATGACACAATATGTATACTAAGTACTCATGACACCCGGGTTGAGGGTGACAACAGCTATCTCTACACCTATGTCATCATAGCTACCAATGGAAGTGTCAGAAGAATTATGTGACTACCACATCAATCTCAGTGTCTCCTAAAAGGCACATCAGTTTTAACAGCTTTAATGTCCTTGCTAAACAATTTTTAAAAAAAAACACACTACACTGAAATTCTAACCACCCTTCTATTCTTACTAACATGCCTTTTTAAAAAGCAGTTCAAATGTAGCTTTATCAAAATAAAGGTGCTCAAGTACAACCTTTTCCATAAAACCTTCCTTCCCTGAGTCATCCGAAGCCAACAGAATTGCTCCCGCTGTACACATTTCACACCTCTCTGAAAGGGCATTTATTGTTAGAAGCCGTGCGTGGCTCTTCAGGGAGTGGAGTCAACAGGTGTGACGTGACGAACACACACAAAGGGCAGCCATGTCTAAACCAGGGGTCCCCGTGTGCGCAGAAGGTCACAATCGCTTGTGGGGCTTGGCCCAACTGCACGAGGCCCCCAGAGACGCTCCGGCTGATCCCTTCCCAACCAAACTGGGTGTCTGCACCCCTCTTTGACTCTCTTCCATTGTGACTGATATAAATGTGTCACAGCCCTCAGGGGTCAGGCCAGTAAAACGCTTGAGAATGTACAAAAACCATCCTGTCAAACAGAAGTTGCCCGGGCTCAAGTGAGCCCAGTCACACACTGCCTTTTCTGTGATGGCTTTCTTGTGGCGTGACTTCTCTCCGTCCCCCATTCCTGGGGTCACCCTTTCCAGGACCCACGTTACCTCTGCTAAGCCGCAGCTCAGCGCGCGCTCGGCAGACTGGCGCCCCAGCCTCCTGGTCCTTGCTGACCTCAAGATGGTCTTTGCCGAGAGCGTGGCCCTTCACCAATCCCCAAATCTCCTCCTCACCCTGACAACGGTCTGTTGCTTCCCAGCCCACTGCACTCCTCTGCCGGAGACGAGCGCAGCCCCCCGAACCACAGTCCTCACTAAAGCTCCACTACTGGGCAGCAAAAGGCAAGGAGCACGCCTGCCCGCCCATCCCCCCACGCGCTCAGCACACCACGTCGCAGATAACAGACGTGCCAATGCTTGGAGGAGAAGCGTGTGTCTATGATGCCTCCGGTACGCTTTCATCTGCCTGGCTGCATCTTTTTCAATCTTCTTTATTGAAAAACAACTTACAAAACAAGTCAGAGAAAGTAAAACTTGAGTGCTTCAGATTTTGTTGCAGAAGACTGTTGTTCCTCTTCTCTCTGAGCACATGGCTGGTCTACACTTCCCAGTCCTGCCTGTGTGCATGCACTTGGGTCTCGCCCTACAGCTGGGCATTAGCCAGCGGACTGCGAATAAGAGGAATAAGAGCGGTGCGTGCCTCCTCCAGGCTCTTCCTCCACTCTTCTTCTCTTCTGGCTAACTGAGAAAAGCTGATTCCCAGGACGTCCTTGAAGCCTCGTGTTCAAAATGGAAGAGGCTCTAGCAGCCTGATTCCTCCAATTAGTGCTTTAAAGACAGCCCCCCCAGATGGGCACGTGGGTGGCTCACGCCTGTAATCCTAGCACTCTGGGAGGCCAAGGCAGGAGGATCGCTCAAGGTCAGGAGTTTGAGACCAGCCTGAGCAAGAGCGAGATGCCATCTCTACTAAAAATAGGAAGAAATTAACTGGCCAACTAAAAATATATAGAAAAAAATTAGCCAGGCATCGTAGCGCATGCCTGTAGTCCCAGCTACTCGGGTTGCTGAGACAGGAGGATCACCTGAGCCCAGGAGTTTGAGGTTGCTGTGAGCTAGGCTGACGTCACAGCACTCTACCCAGGGCAACAGAGCGAGACTGTGACTCAAAAAAAAAAAAAAAAAAAGTCAAGCTGACTGTCCAGTACAAAGTCCCTGACTAGACAAACTGCTTGCAACACCACACATCCTGTAGCGAAGGCAAACAGCGGGCAGCTTTGCTAACCTGGGTATTTACTGAGTCACCTAACCTCCCCCTGGCTGTTTCCCCAGGGGGCCTCCGCTGTCTGCGGGGGCGGGCTCCGGAAGAACAAACAGCAAGTGGACCCTTAGCCTCTGGCATTGGCGGTGAAGGTGACAGTGCACAGCAGCGGAGCCCCACGTTACAGGGACCCCTCTGTTTGACGAAGTCCAGTCACGGGAGGGAAGCCCAACAGCCCAACCTCAGCAGTTACCTGTGTTGTTTCCCAACTCCAGCGCTGTAAAAAGAACAAGCTAGGATGCAGTTCACAGTTAACAAAACCACCCTGTCATTGAGATACTTGTAACGATTCTTTGGAGGAGTATGTATTTAATGTGTGTCTTGCACAAATTGTTTTTAATACATATTTGTTATTTTATACTACCCCATGAATAACAATTATTTGTATACATGCATATTTAACACATCTTCCACCCTAGACTAAAAGCTCTATGGTCTTGGGGGGGGGACAAGGAACTCACCCCCAGCACACACTGCTGCGTGAGCAACTGCTGATTAAACGAACAAATGTGCAACTGCAGCACTTCCTTCTAAGTTCAGGCTGTCTTCCTTGGCTTTGAAGCTCTTTATCTTATAGCTCCCAAGTGCTCTACGACATTTGCAGTTCTTTTCCCTGTCTGTCTGTCTCTCTCTCTCTCTCTCTCTCTCTATATATATATATATACACATTTTTTTTTTTTTTTTTGAGTCACAGTCTTGCTCTGTCGCCCTGGGTAGAGTGCAGTGGCATCATGGTAGCTCACTGCAACTTCAAATTCCTGGGCTCAAGCAACCCTTCTGCCTCCCAAGTAGCTGGGACTGCAGGCCTGTGGCACCCTGCCCAGCTAATTTTTCTATTCTTAGTAGAGATGGGATCTCACTTTTGCTCAGGCTGGTCTCAAACTCCTGAGCTCAAGTGATCCTCCTGCCTCAGCCTCCCACAGTGCTAGGATTACAGGCGTGAGCCACTGCACTCAGCCTCTTTCCTATATTCTCATTTGATCCTCACAGCAACCCTATGATTCTGCCACGATTAAACTGGGGCTCAGAGAAGACTCGCCTGAAGTTACAACACAGCTCATACGTGATGGGGCCCACACCACCACTTAGGTCTTCTGACTCCCCAAGTCCAGTGAGCTTCCTACTGTAACGTCCTTTCTTCTATAGCTGGAAGTCTTTAAAGCAGCATCTAAAAACCTTGTTTATCACTTTTTTAATCATTGTGAAATATCAGAACTGAAGAAATTTAATAACAAGTATTTAGAAAACATAAGGAACATATTGATAAATACGGTAGACTCAGAATGGAAACACTTCAAAATATCTTGCCCCCATAAGCTCTAAAAGAAACAAATGCAGAAAAAAAAAAACACGACAGTTCTAGCTCAGTCCTGGGTATGCACTCCTGACCAAGAGCCAGATCCCTCCTGGCCACCAGAGCCTGCTTTTCTGTAAAACCAAAACGTCCAAGTCAGCAAGCTCAAGCTCCCCCAGGTCCTCTGACACCCTGAAATACCTACTACTCTCTTGGAGACAGCACTCATTTATGACAAGCAAAAATGGGTAAGGCGTTTCACACACTGTTTCTCACAAGGAAGGAAGGAATGTTAGAAAAAAGAATACTATTTACTGTCTAGAATACATTTTTATATATTTAAAAGCCTTTTTCTACACTCGATTTATTCCACAACCACTTTTAAATATCTACTATGTCCCAGATTCATTATAAACTCCATGAGGGCTTTCTCTTGTGGTATCCTTGGTGCTAAACTGCTATTTTAGACGTTGACAATACAAAAATGAATTAGCCTACCCATAAGGCGGCTACCAAAACAAACACACGTTACTAAACATAAGGCAATATATAAGTGTTACATAAATGCGTGCATGAAGTGCTACGGCAGTAAAGAAAAGCAGACAGACTTAGGAAAGTTGAAAAGACTTTATGAAGAGTTGAGCCTTGAAAGATTAGTCAGGGGTCCTCAAACTACGGCCCGCCGAGGACATTTATCCAGCCCGCCGCCGGGTGTTTTTGCCACCGCTGCCTGTCCTGCTTAGCAGCCCACTTGTCCCGGGCCCACGGTGCGCATGCGTGGAATGTGCACTGCACCCTCCAACAGCCCTCCAACGGTCTGAGGGACAGTGAACTGGCCCCCTGTTTAAAAAGTTTGAGGACCCCTGGATTAGTGGGATTCAGTAAGGCAGAAGAAACAACATGTGCAAAAATACAGAGGTATAACAACGCACCGGTGTGGCAGAAAAGTGGGGTTTCGTGTTCACTGATGGGGAGATGACAGGAGACAAGGCTGGAAAAGGGAACTGGAGCCACAGACTGTTACAAAGGTCCTTAAATAAAATGCTAAAAAAAAAAAAACCTGGACGTTACTGTGCAGGCAATTCTGGGCATCACCCAGTTTTTAAGCAGGCTCATTACATAATCCAATTCACACTTTAAAACAGTGACTCTGGAGGTATGCTGGAGGATGGACAGACGTGGAGATTGTCAGGAAAACAAGTCGGAAAGCCACTGGAACAGCCCAGGTGAGAGTTGGCAAAGACCTGAGAGCAGCGAAAATCGGGCAGAGAGGGCAGGCGAACACCAACAAGGCTTTCCAGACAAGACTGGAAGAGCAAGATAAAAGAGAAAGAGCAGCAAAGATAACTGACATTCCTAGCAGAACATTAAGAAAGACGATAATGTCATTAACCGTGTTTGGGTTTTGTTTTAATTAGCTTTTCCTGTAGTAAGTGGGAGGCCTAAAATTTTAGTTTGGAAAATAATTTTTGTTTTGATTTTCAGTTACCTGTGGAATACTAGGTTAAGTTCCAGGGGTACTTTGAAATATGAGACTGGTCTTTAAAAGGCATGCACAGGGACAACAGTTGAAGATAAGAGATTTGAGACACTTAGGTGATAAATTTCTAGGAGTAGGTAACTTCATAACCAGAAGAGCAAAGACATAATCCAAATTCAGTTTCCAAATGAAATCAGCCTAGGAAGGATAGAGGGATATGATAAATAGACAAAAGATGATGGCAACAAATCCGAAATTAGAATTCTAATACCAGTAGTTGGTGTCCACACATGCTCACAAATCACGTAACACATCAAATGATCAACACACTAATGAGTATGGCTGCATGCTCCATAACCATGAAACAGGTGAGAAAAAGGCAAGACAGCCAGGTAGCAAATCACAATGTCATGAACAACTACATGGGAAGTTAGAAAAGGCCAGACCACAAACCCTAAAAGCCTGCACAAAAGAAATGGACACCCCAACCAGGAAAACAGCGAGACCCCAGAAATAGCTTTCTCCAGTCAGCTTTCTGCGTAGATCCCACCCCTCTAGACTATGCTTTTGCTCCAGAAAATCACAAGGGCTGTGGGATAGATTCATATTCATTATTATTTAGCTATCCTATCCAAAGGGAGATACAGACCAAAATAAGCGGAAAAAAAAGAAGAAAGAAGAGGTAGAATTGGATTTAGAACACCAATTAAGTAACCTATTATTCTGGACTCAAATATTCCAGTCCATTGTGAACCCATGTGTCCCAATTATGTTTAAAATAACAGGGAAACTGAAGACCGCAATGCAAGAGAAAATGTCATTGGTAATTGGGTTGGAGGAGAGAGGAAAGAAAAGAATATGAAGCTACCAGGCTCCTCAACTTCCAGTTTGTACTGACTCCAACACTGCTCTGCAGTTCTAAACTTTTGTGCATTTCAAAATACTTTTAGACCTTTTTTTTTTTTTTATTGAATTACAAGAGACAACGCAGCAACAACGCCAGCCAAGCTGATACCTGGACCTACTTCTGTTTCCAGTGGCTACCCATATAAGCAAGTTACCTTAACCAGATTGAATCTGCCCAAATTGAATCTGCTGAAAATGGGTTTTTATTTTCATGGGCTCATACCAGAGATCTTTTTTCATTCTGTCTCCGCTTATTTTAGCACAGTGTCAGGCACTGGCAGGCACCTGAATGGATCTCAACAGATCCTACCGTCCTTCCTTCCAGAAGGCTTTTTATAAACCTATATACTTCCATGAGAAAAATCACTAACTTCATTAGGCCTCAATTTCCCCCACCTGTAAAACCAGAGTGATGCCCGTTGCTCGCAGATCGAAGTGCTTTGTAAACCTCAGACTACGATATAAAATGTAAACGGTAATTGCTTTTAGGCCTGGCAAACAACAGCGACTCCCATTTTGCCCCTGCAGGAACTGCAGACACCAAGAGTTTACGAGACGAGCACCTACTAAGGTCAGGTAAGGAACCCAACGCCCACCCAACCTCTTCCACCACCCATACGGCTTGCTCGGATCTCCAGGTACCCTACAAAAGTTCCAGGCCTTCCCACACCACCTCAGTCTCCTTATGTTCAGGTGAGACAGAGGGAGGCTGCAAAGGAAAGCGGGGCAAGGGGCGGCATAAAATGACTCGCCCAAGGTCAAACGTCGGAGCGGGCAGGAGAGCCCGGCTCGCCCGCCACGGAGGCCGCGTCCCCCGGGCATCCTGCTACAGCCCCCGGGCAACGACGAGCCGCCCGTCCTGGGCCTCGGGGAGCGGCGCGGGGCCGCGCCCGGCTCGAGCTCGGCGGGCACCCCGGCCTGCCCGCGCACCCGCCGCGCCCGCACCTGCCCGCGGCCGGCCGGCCCCACCCCCACGCTCGGCCCGGCGCCCAGCGGCCCCACGCCCGCGCCGGGACCCCGCGCAGGACCCCGGAAGGCTGGGTTTCCCACGCGGCGGCGCCCCGCCCGCGCTCCCTGCCACGTCTGCGGCCTCACGCACTATGGCGCTCCGCACCGGGGCCCCCGCCGCCGCCGGGCCCGCGCCGCCGGCCGCCCAGCCCAGCGTCCCCCGGCAGCCAGCTCCTCCTCGCCCGGACCGCGAGCCCGAGACGGCCGCCGACTTCCTCCGCGAGCTCCGCCCCGCCGGAGGCCCGGGAAGCGCCCGCCGCCGGAACGGACGGACGGACGGCGCAGCCAGTCGGGACGCACGCCCGGAGGGGGCGTGCTGACGGACGGCCCCCGCGACCAATAGGAATGCGCTGTCGGAGGGGGCGCGGCCACTTCTACCGAGCCACGCCCCACCTGCGCTTCCTTTCGGGCCGAGGTGGCAAGGGGAAAGTTTCCCAGAGTTCCTCCGAGCTGCCTGGGTGCCCGCGGGGCCGCGGCGGCTGCGGGGCGGGGTCGGGGAGGTTGCGGGCTGGGTGAGGGGAGCACCGGGTGACGGGTGGCCGGGTGAGGGGGGCGAAGACTGGGGGCCGCGGGCCGGGTGAGGAGAGAACTGGGTGAGGCGGGCAGGCCCGGGGCGGCCGCGGGCCGGGTGAGGAGAGAGCTGGGTGAGGGGCGGCCGCCGGTCGTGTGCGGAGGGCGGTTGGTGAGGGGGGTGGGTGCGGGGCGGCCGCGGGCCGGTGAGGAGAGAGCTGGGTGAGGGGCGGCCGCGGGCGGGTGAGGAGGGGACCCGGTGAGGGGCGGCCGCGGGCCGGTGAGGAGAGAACTGGGCCCGGGGCGGCCGCGGGCGGGTGAGGAGGGGACCCGGTGAGGGGCGGCCGCGGGCCGGTGAGGAGAGAACTGGGCCCGGGGCGGCCGCGGGCAGGTGAGGAGGGGACCCGGTGAGGGGCGGCCGCGGGCCGGTGAGGAGAGAACCGGGTGAGGCGGGCGGGCACGCCGCGCGGCCTCCGGAGCCACCCGTCCCAGGCGTAACGCGGGGCGAGGCCCGGCGCGCCCCGCCAGGCCCCTCCGGCCCACCTCAGGGCCGGGCGGTGGAACGGCGCACCCCACCGTGTTTTCAGCCCCAACCGCGCCGGTGCCGGGGCAGCTGGGGAAGCGGGCGCGCCCCTCCCGGAGCCGTGGGCTCGGCGTAGACGCCCGGGCGCCCCTGGGAAGGCGCCCCTGCACCGCGCTCGCCACCGACCGCCCAGTCCCCTGAGGAGTCGCCTCCCCACGCTGGAGCCCCGGGCGCCCGGGGCAGGGTCACGTGCGGGAAGCGGAAGCCGGGCTCGCTCTGGGCTGCTTCCAGCCGGACCGCCGGGGTCCCTCCCACCCGCTGCCAGCCTGGCCTCGGTGCCGGCCCCGCCCGGCGACCCGCGGCGCCTCTGCAGGCTGGTGCAGGAGGGCCGGCTGCGCGCCCTGCAGGAGGAGCTGCGGGCGGCCGGTGGCTGCCCGGAGATGGCCGGGGACACCCTGCTGCACTGCGCCGCCCGCCACGGGCGCCGGGACATCTTGGCCTACCTGGTTGAGGCCTGGGGCGTGGACGTGGAGGCAGCCAACCGAGACTACAAGCGGCCTCTGCACGAGGCCGCCTCCATGGGCCACCGGGACTGCGTGCGCTACCTGCTGGGCCGAGGGGCGGTTGTCGACTGCCTGAAGAAGGCCGACTGGTAGGTGGCGGGGTCCAGAAAGACGACACCTTGCCTCCCCGGTCCCTGCAGGGTCCCTGCAGAGTCGTAGGCTCCACAACCGGTTTTTCACCCCAGGCCTGCTCCGTGGCAAGGTCGCCCTGCCTTCCCCTGTGGCGCAGGTGACCTTTAGTTGTGCTTTGTTTCTGCTCTTGTGTGTGAATTGGTCCAGAAGTTTCCATCTGTGTAGAATATAATCAAGCAGAATGTAGTCAAAACAATGGATTGTGTGTACTATATATAGCCCCAGGATGCAACGTTCTGGGGACTTGTAGCTAAATTCCTACTGCACCAATTGCATTGTTTTAATTGGCATTGCCTCAATCAGTAGCGTTACTCAGATTTCATGAGTTACACGTGCATTTGTGCGTGCAGAGCACTACGAGTATTTTGTCATCCAGGTGTAGCCTTGCATAGCAACCACCGCAATCAAGATGCTTTACTTCATCATCACAAGAACCAGTTACAGCTGAAGTGTCCTAGTGAATCACGGCTCACTGCAGCCTCCAACTCCTGGGCTTAGGTGATCCTCCCGCCTCAGCTTCCCAAGTAGCTGGGACTACAGGTGTGCACCACCACACCTGGCTAATTTTTTATTTTTTGGGGATGAGGTCTTGCTATGTTGCTCAGGCTGGTCTCCATCTTCTGGCCTCAATCCTATTATAGGTGTGAGCTGGGATTATAGGTGTGAGCCACCATGCCTAGCCTTGGCACTGTGTCAGGTTCCTTAGAGGTTGTGAACCTCTTAAGGCTCAGGAACATACTGAAGTACATCTTCCGCTCTTGGTCGGGGGTATAGACCTGGTAGTTTTGAAGGTTGTCTATGGTTTTTATTGCTGTGCTCTAGTTCACTGCCATCTGTGAAGTGGTTCATAATCAGCATGGCCTCCTAGGAACCCTATTCCTGGGGGGTACACATTCATCACAATCGTTTTCCCCTTGTTATTTCTCCCAGGGTCCTCACAGCAGGCAGGGAAGTTGCCAGTCAAAGCTCCGACTTTTCCACATGTTCATAATGGCAAAATAAAAAAAATAAAAAAAAAAAAAAACTCCGGCTTCCCAGACCCCTGTATCTTCTAGGTTTTCCATCTGGGCCAAAGATACGCATTTTCAGAAAACCTAGCCCCTCACTTTTCATGTCCTAGCTGCTTCCATCTGACAGCTTGTCCTGGTTGGCCTTAGGACTCCTCTGATGATGGCCTGCACGAGGAAGAACCTCGAGGTGATCCAGGACCTCGTGGAACATGGCGCCAGTCCTCTCTTGAAGAACAAAGATGGCTGGAACAGTTTCCACATTGCCAGTCGAGAAGGCGACCCTCTGATCCTCCAGTATTTGCTCACTGTTTGCCCAGATGTCTGGAAGACAGAGAGCAAGATTAGAAGAACTCCTCTGCACACTGCAGGTACAGTCTACATCTCTGCCTGCGTGCAGGTGCACATGTGCAGCCTGCCCCACCCAGCACTGCCCAAATCTCATCTTGTTCAAGTCACCTGCAGGGGAGCAGAGAATTTTGGGAAACAGAGGTCAGGAAATAAGAGTTTTGGGGGCCCTTTGCCATAGTTATTTTATGAAGCTAATGTAACTTGGCTACCATGCTCTTCTGGTATTAGTTCACTTTTCATGTCTGTCTTATTCTCCCTAGTTAGTTAGCTCGTAAACTGGTTCTGATCCTTATAAAGTTCCTTGGGCAAGGAAACTAGTCTCTCTCATTGGCAAAATAATGATGGTAATGATGCCCATGTCACAGGGTTGTTTTAGGGTTTAAGGAGCATGATATGATATATGTAAATCCCTCAGACAATGCTTGGCACATAGTGAGCACAAAGTGGTTGCTGCTGTTTATCATTTCCACATTGTCATTACATAGAGGCAGGAGGAAAAGAGACTATTATTTTCTCATGTCTTTAGTAATACCTACTGCAGTGCTATACATTTAAACAGATCCTTATAATTAAATAATCTGGGCCCAAGTATATTTGACTTATGTAGTGATAATGTCAAATATAAATTTTGGGGTACAGTTTGCATTATTTGGAGTAGTGATCTTTAACTCTGAATTGTCTATTTATGGATTATTTTAAATTAGATCAAGAAATTTAAAAATAAGTTTTAGCCTTCTGGTAACACATTGGATTAGGATACGGGACTTTTAGTTTCTGTAAAAATCAAGACCTGTGATATCAGATAGTCTAGGAAATATACATGCAATCATTCTCTAGCTATGGTTGGCAGTTAAGGACCAAGGAAACCTTTTTAAAACTTGGCAAGTAAGTAGAAAAAAATTTCTCTGTTTTGTGAATTATTTGACCAGCTTCCTGAAGAAACAAATAGTACCCCATTATTCACCCAAAATAGTGGAGGACAGATAGTCAAAATCTTTGTTATTGAGTATAGTTACTTTTAGTAGGAGAATTAAATTAGGAGCACACCTTGCTGCTAATTCACACATAGGTTGAGTGGACTCACTTCCACTATAGCTTTCAGCACATCGTTATCCACCTTGGTCTCAGGTCACCCATGTGGCTCATTTTCAAGATTAAAATCACCAGAACAGAACTCAAACCATCAATGTACTGTATGTTCATTAGCCATGTCCTTCCCAAACACTTTGTTGATATTTTGAGCTATCTGCACTGCATTGGTTCCACAATGGAACTCATATTAAAAAATAACTCGAATTTTTGATTTATCCATGGTTCCCAAAAACAGCTTGAAAAAAAATTTTGAAAGATAATCACAAGCCAAACTGTGTGTTTGCAAGACTGAGGATGTACCATCACAATAAAAGTTTTCTAAATTTCTTGATCTGTGTACTAAAAAGCTCTAATTCCCAACTCTTTTCTCCTAGCAATGCATGGGCACTTAGAGGCAGTAAAGGTGCTCCTTAAGAGGTAAGAACAGTACAGAAAATGGGAGAAAATATTTGATATTTGTGACAATTATTAATTGTCATAATAATTGAGTTAATATCAGTGTATATAAAGAGCTCAGACACACTGTTAAAGAAACTAAACTGTCAAAAGAAAGATGAGGCCAGAAACAGTGGCCAGCCTGAGCAAGAGTGAGACCCCATCTCTATTATAAATAGAAATTAATTGGCCAACTAATATATATAGAAAAAATGAGCCAGGCATGGTGGCACTTGCCTGTAAGTCACAGCTACTTGGGAGGCTGAGGCAGGAGGATCGCTTGAGCCCAGGAGTTTGAGGTTGTTGTAAGCTAGGCTGATGCCACGGCACTCACTCTAGCCTGGGCAACAAAGCGAGACTCTGTCTCAAAAAAGAAAAAGTTTAGCCAAGCATGGT